GGGGTCAGGCTAGATGATCTGTTCAGGTCCCTCCTGACCCTAGCTACTATGAAACTATGAAATTCAGTTTAAAATTTATTTGAAAATTGCAAACATGGCGTATATCACTGAATGACCTAGAAGCAGACCACTTGTACTTGAGAGTGTACACAAGTTACCAAAAATTGATCTTGCAGAAGTTCACATAAGAGAAGGGCCATTCAGCCATGGGGCTTCTCACAGGTCCAGAAACTGGGCATGGGCACTGATGGCAATGTTACTTGCCACAGGTGAGGAAGCTGCATCCATTAATCCTGCCACTACTCCCCCATCGCCACATTTACTCATGGGGAGATCCAGGGGCCTAAAGACACAGCCCCGTGTGCTGGATTCCACTGGCAGCCAAGGCTGCACTGAAGCCAGATCTGGTACCTGAAGCCTGGCCAGCACACAGGGTTACACCTACAGACTGTCCCTGCACATCCCTGCACCCCATACTGGATCCGGTCCATGGACTGAGCCTGTTCATTGGATCCAGCCCAAACTGGCCCCATGCCATTCATGTGATCCACAAAGCCAGAAGGTTGAGCACCAGACATAGAGCACACAATCATATGCCAATCATGTAGTAACATAATTCTACATTTACTTTGCAACAGAGTCCTTTTCAGCATTACTGAAGCTTGTCTCTCCTTTGCTAGATCACAGAAGAATCTACCTTGCCTAGCATAAAATACTATTTAGTTTTTATATTGTTTCTTTTTTTCCCCCTATTTCCATTATAAATTTGGGGCATTTCATGAAAATTTCCCATGAAAAATTTAAATTTAAAAAATGTGTCCATTCCATACATTAGGAAAAACTCAAGACCTTTTGACACTATTTGGGAGGAGGAAGGGGCAGGAAGAGACCCAGGGTTAAAGTATAATGCTTAGTTCAGACCAGAGACTTGAACCTGGATCTTCCATATGTCAAGTGACTACAATTTGCTATTCCACAATGGGTCTCTTTGGATTTGGCCAGAAAATTGATGAAAGTTAAAACTGACAAATTTATGTGAAAAGTTTCAACAAATCAACATTTTGTCAAAGAATTTCTGATCAGCTCTATCTTTTAATGCTTTAAGCCGAATAAACCTTCCATCAAATTACTTGGCAACACATCTGCTATCTAGACCCCAATACGTGTGTATATATACCCAAAATGAGTACACTACTTTAAGAAATTGCCCTTGAGCTCACATTTACCACTGCTATATTTATTTTTGTGTATTACATTCAAAGCTAGTCAAGAACAGATGAGGGGGGTGCACACTAGCCATAGCTGCAGCAGAGTCAGGAAAATAAATTGCTGCAGGCATCCCTAATTCCTGAACTCCTGTACATTTAAATTAGCTTGCCTTCTGGAGACAGGACAGTGATGCACTCCCTAGCCCTTGTTAAAGCTCAGCCTCAGAATCTATTAGCTGACAGACGATATTTTCAAAAAATTTGACCTGAGGGAGCAGCCCACATTTTATACAATTCCTAAGCTATATTACTAAAACTGATTTTCTGGATACAGTATAAAAATGTCTTTGCACAGGGATTAAATGTCCTCAAATCAGCTTTCTTCTCACTGTAAGGAATGCGAAGAAAGCATTTGACTTAGAAGGATATTTCAGCTCAAGCCCAAAAGAAGTTTACAAGCAAACTGAACTATTTTTAGGAGGGATAAAGTAGTAATCAGGAACCTTGTCTTTATAATCTTACTACCTTTGTGCAGTATGGAGGAATACTGTATGTTTTTCTCATGTTGTCTTAATGCTTGAAATTATGTCCTCTATACAGAACAATGTTTCATGTTGTTTCTGAAGCTGGAAAGCTCTGGACATAAAGAAATATTCCTTCAAGAATATTCACCGTTCAAATAAGCTTAACCTAATGTCTTAAAGACTTACCTGTCCCCAGGCATACATGTTGTTATGAGTCTGAGAAGGATTGACTTTAGAAAGCAGGAAGCGGGCCTTGAAAGACATAAAACAATGGGAAAAAAATCATTCAACTAGAATAACAAAATTTCTAAATTCCCAGAAAATTACCTCAATTACCTGAAATCCAACAACATGCATTTGTCACTTTAGATTTTTTTTTTGCAAGAGGAGGTAGAAAGGCATCCAAAAATAAAAGAAAATGTTAAGGTGCCTGGATTTTATAAACTACAACAAATGAATATTGACAACTTTTCAAATAAGTGGGATATATAAAATTATGCAAAACTAGTCAAATAAAACATGAAAAATATTAGTTAAAAAGTGTCAATACCAACAAAATTAATTGGTGTCTGGTTAAGCTCTTTGGTGCATTGGCCCACCCTTTTTTACCTACTTTTGTACAGCCCAAAGGAAGCTAGACCATAACTGAGGCTCCAAGGATCTGCAGTACAGACTAAGCAACATATAATGGATTTGTTTGGCAACTGAAAACTGCTCAACACATGCAATGAGCAGTTAATCCTTCTAGCCCAGGGGCAGGAACCTAGGGCTCCTATATATGTTCAAGAAGCCTGCTCCAATGCGCTGGAAATCCAGTGCATCAGAGCAGATTCCATTAATCAAATCTGCTGGAGAGCAAAAATTAACGTGCTCCAGCAAACTCTAACGTCACATGCATCAGCATCCCTACGCTGAAAAATGGCAACAGGGTGCTTTGAACTAAAGCTCGTTCTTGTGATACACATGATACTTGCTGTTCATGTGATACATGTGACACTTGGGAGCTTTTAATTAATGCGACTCACTAATTAAAGCGCCCCTGCAAGCCTCCCAGAGCACATGTAAAAATGTCCCTACAGTCTGCAGTGTCTTTGAATCCAGCCTGTGGACACAGGGCTTTAGTGGCATTTGGAAGTGGGGGGGGCACTCCTGTAGGCACTCTCCCAGGGAACACTGAGGAAACAAGTGGTGGTGGTGGCAGAGTCCTGGTGCCTGTCCACCTGTGGGTCAAGGTGGGTCATTCTAGCCTGAGGCTGGAAAAGGTTGCCTACCCCTATTCTATGTTCTTAATTTCCTCAATGTTCTTAATTTCAGGGTAAAGCTCGCTGAGTAACAATGAAATTAACCTTAATGAAGTGCCAACATGTGCCCATGTGCTATACACAACAACGTAAATTCATACAGTCAAAAAACTGAGAGCAGGATGGTCTTGTACGGGTAATAGGGAAGCTTAAGTCAGTTTAAATTAGCGCTCTTTGTATGACTGAAATATGAACCCAAAGGTGTCAAATTCACATCGACCCCTGGCCCAGATCTGGACTATGGGGCTCTAAACATGGTGATGGCAAAAGTGAAATTAGCAATAAGCATTGGCTACTTTTGGATTTAGTTCTGTCATACTCCCAGCTGTTCAGTCATAATTTCAACATCTTGCCAAGTAAAATATGTTTTTATAATGAAACAAAAGCTTACAGGATTATTTGCACATTGCTGACACATTATTTCTTCTGATTAACAATACAGCTTACTGTACCTGACTGCCTCCATGCTCTGTATCAATGTACCGGGGCATTGGGAACCTGGAATGGAGAATTTCCTGGGCATCATCTACTGGAGCTTGCAACAGATGACGGAAGTTTTCATATTCTGGCATGTCCTGGTAGCCTGACTTTCGCCACTGAGCTATGGTCTAAAGAAACAAAATGCAGAATAAAGTCATCACTCATCAGCAGGATGTTCATTACTGAAACTTTATATCACAACTCCTTTCCTCCTGCCAGACTGGTTCATGCCAATATATTAACTTTTTGAAGAAATATCTCTAAGCACAAGATCTAACAAGATGTATATGTAATGAAAGCAGATAATATAAATCTTTTGGTACCATAGTCCTTGTGCTGCTCAGACCCATTCCCCATCTCTGTTAGTCAACCTTCGCTTTGCTAAGTGAGAAACTTTGGAGGTCAGAGACCAATCTTGTCTCCTAGCATATCTCATACTCACCCCATAGCACAGCAGAAATAAATATTAAGTGTAAAAATGTATCCCAAACTGCAAAAAAAATTATGTTGCTCTACACAGAAGTTTATCTATATTTTTTAAAAGTGTTAAAGTCATCTAGATCAACCATTAACTCAGTGGATATTAAAACAAATGAACCCCAACTTCCAAGGATTTTCAATGGAAAGAGCAAGTAATGCCACATGCCACTGTATAACACTATGGTAGGCCATGATCCTGTACATATATGCATTTAATCGTATACCTGCAAGTAGTCCAATCAAGTTCAATAATGTATACACATGAAGCCATGCATTCAAGAAAGTGTTTAGAAAGTACGGGCCTGAACTAGTAACAGAACATTCCTACAAAAAGCAAGAAGTTTACTTAAAATGACCGGATCTTACCTCTCCATGATAGATAAGGATTTGGAAAAAGGTGTCCATAAGAAGAATGCGATCTGCCAAAATGCTGCTGCTATCAAGAAGAACAGGCTGAAACAAAGAATAAGTGCCTCAGTTGAATATGGCAAAAGAGTACGCTCAGATATGTTAAAAGCCCATAAAACTGTAGCTCAGAAACAGGATACTTGCTGCAATCGCTTTCACTGTGCAATTTTGAAATGATGGCAGAGGAGGTCTGAGGGTTGGAGAAGGGAAAGTAATCTTGCCCATCAGTGTTTGCCCATGGCTCTCACCACACACCTGTTCTGCATCAGAGTATGCATCCTTCTTGTCCTTACTCTGATTTCCCCTTCCTTTTTATGTTCACAATCTAAAATTCCTATCTGATCCTTTGTTCTTCCTCAATTCACCCTCTCTCTCCAGCACAAATCCCAATCCCACTTCTGCATATTCCTGTCCCATCTCACCTCTGCTATTATTTCCCCAGTGCCAGCCTTCACTCATGTCACCCCTTCCCACATTCTCCCCCTCTCTTCTGCCATCATTCCTAACCCCACATTTATACCCCTTCCTCTCCCTCGCTTCTCCTCCTGTCTCTAGAAACACCAGTTTCAGCTATAGGATCATGGTCACCCATGAACTCTGCCTATCGTGCTGACAATACCGCCTTGTTTGTTTGTATTCTCTCATCTCCCTGTATCCATGCCTACCTTGTTTCATACTGAGGCTGTAAATGCTGGGGTGTTTACAGATATCAATTTTTGATTTGCATCTGTATAACACCTTGTATAATAAGACCTTGATCCATAACCAAACTAAAGTTTCTTTATGTTGTGATAATAAAGTGATAAAAGTGATCTTCTTTTCTG